TATCGAAGTGCAATTTCTCTAAAAAATGTCTAATGCTACTAAACCATTTAACACTCTCAAATTATGAAGAAATTATTAAATTTTTTAAATCTGCATAAGAACTTGCATTAAGAAATTGGAGTTAATTTACAACATGCCCTAGAAAACTATTTCTTCTTAGTTAAAAATACAAAAATGATTAATTAAGGCTCAACTATGGAAAACCATAGAATATTGTTTCATTTTGAAAGATAATTAAAGAATAATGACTGAACATAGGTGTTATACTCATGCATATTCCATTACTGAGAAAGAACATGAAATTATACAGGATTAATTAATTGTAGGCGTGTATTAGTTACTGAACATGCTGAAATATAAATTATCATGCGTATAGGTTGTGCTCGATGTTAGTATAAATTCTTTTCCCTACATATATAGTAAATTTTCGTGTATATAGTAAATTTTCAAATTCGATTTTCCCGAAGATTAAAAATCGAACACAAAAGTTTATTTTATTAACACGTTGAATGCTGCACGATTTCATAGAGCAAAATGCACAAAATGGAAAAAATATTTTTCAATAATTTCAGATATATCTATGGTCGACAAGCATTATACACAATTTTCCATTTTTTATTGTATTTTCGTTATATTTCATTTTTTAATTATATTTCAATTTTGAAAATAATTTAAGTTCGTTAATAATAAATATGTTTCATTTGAATTATAACATTTAAACTAATGAATTTCTGTCATATCTTTTGGATAGTACATAATAAATTGAAGGACACGATTAGTTCAGATACTGAACATTTATAAACATCGTTGGTATATTAATTTATGCAAGATTTTCTTTAAAAATCACCCGTTGAAGCGATTACGTTAAGATGAACAAAACAAAACATAACGAAGTGTGAGTGAACTATACTTTTCATTCCGTGGAGATCGTTCCCCTTGCATCAGAGAAAACATGATTGCAAACGTAGCTTCCGCTCAACGAACCTTGACGGGTGAGCAGTTTTTATAAAGCATCGTGATTACCCTCAACTTGAACGATATGTTGAAATTCCTTTCTATATGGTTTTCGTGGAAAAGTATTTACAGTATGTTCGTGTTATTTACGAAATGAGTACAGTGTAGGCCTAAATATGTACACATATCGGAAATAATAAAAAATTCATTGTTATGTTGCAAAATCGTAAATAAATTGAAAATAGACAACGAAATAAGAATTAAATATATAGTAATGTATAGTACTACACCTATAGATAAATTTCTATAAATATATGATGCGGATAAATAATTTTATATTAATTTTCTCTAATTTGTAAACAATTTTCTTTAAATACTTTGATTTTATTTGTATTACCCAAAACTGATGAAACATATAAAAATGAGAGTGAAGAAATATAACATTGGAACGGGAGAAATTATTATCAGTGAAACATTTTTGTTTTCAGATACCATTCAAAGTTAATAAACTGAATGAAAATGTTTATTTACATTTTCGAGTCCTGAACGTCTAAATTGTATTTACTGCTATTCAAAATAAAAGAAAATGACTATGGAGAGTCTACATAGTTGTAAAATATGCGCCTGACGGTGGTAAAAAGTTGTCTCGAGGTCGCCATAATTTTTTTCATGTATTTCTTTTTTAATGTAACTTTATAGTTATCCAACTAAAGTTCGACGTCCTGTGATATATTCCGTGAATGAACTTGAATTGAGGTGAAATGGTCTTGAATGAGTTCAGGTTCACTTAAAACTAATTCTTTCTTCGAATATCACGAAGAATATAAATCGATTCATCAATATCACCTGAACTGGATATTTATTCTTCTAAAAAAAACGTTCCCCTATTTTATATAATTTTCTGAACCATTTGTCATTTGTAGGGAATTACTGAATATAATAATTTTTTCAATTTTATTTAGGTATTATGTATACCAATTGTCGCAAAGCATGATATATGCTTGTATATCTATAAAGTAGATATAATATTATAGACTTTCATAGTATGTAATTTATAATGGATTCAGAATATTGTAGTCCTTTTCTTGTTTATAGTAATATATTGTTCTCATATTTTCATGATTTATGATATAAGTCAAAGGTAAGAAATATTATATTGTCGTTCTTTACTTTTCTACACTTTTGTGTGTATATAATTGTTTGATTTTGTTTTATATTGCTCAATTTGAAAGTTCCAAATTGCAAACTCTGACATTTATCGTCATTAATAAAGGTTTACGATATTACAACGTTAATAATCAGTTCAACAAATTTAACGTCATTTGAGGAATATTTAACAGATATACAATAATTAAGTGTTACGTAAGTGTAACAGAACCTGTGTGTCAAACATCGAATTTTCCAGATGCTTACGTATTTGAAAAAAAAAATAACATTTCAGTGCAATCATTTAAACATGTGATTATTAACTGTTTTGTCAGGAAGAATTACAGTTCATTAATTATAATTAATAAATGACTAATAATTAACAGAATTAATTTCCATTGTACATAAGTACCTATTGTTTACTCAGTTCCTGGAATACAAATACCTTACACTCAGAAATGAAATCAAATATAATGAAATGCGCTAAATAAAAGACACTTGACGATCCGAGACAAGAATAAATTATATAAGATTTTATATATTTTCCATAAGAGGGAAACGGCAAACAAAACATTAAAAACATCTGACGTATGATATGAATGTATAAAATTTGCTATCTAGGCATAGTAAATATGTTTTATTTGTAATATTGACAAAAAAAGGCAGATTCCAGGATGCTTTTTATATGCACGTACGTATCTCTTGCTCACGTGGAATTATTCATCCGCGTAACATCATTGTGACATGATATCGAATTGATAATGAAATTGCCAGTACGAGGGAAAGCGTGGTAATGAAATATATGTATAAGTATTTGAATCAGCATCTCCAACGCTTTGCATACCATCTCTCTGCCATTCCGACCCTCATAATAACGGTGCATCGACCTACATAAAACCTCAATTTCTCTGAGGCTAAGTTTCTTAATAAAGTTTCGTGCAATTAGCAGAGAACTATATATGCAGTCGGTACACCTAATTAAAAAATTACCTTTCCAAAAATTAAACATTCGTATAGTACTAGTATGCTACAAGAATGTACATTGTAAAAAGGGTCATTTATGTTTAAAACGTTCGAACGGAAATATTTAAGATTAAATAATAATAGACTTGTTGTAGTGTAATGGAAAAATATTTTCATGGCGTTTATGTATTTTGTTTATCTTAATAATATTTATACTGTTCCACTAAACATGACAAATAACCGCTAGAGACAACAATCAATTTAAATCGATTTAATTCTTATTCATTCCTCAATCAAAGTAAGTAAGTCTTTATTATTGTTAAAATTCTATGAAGTGTAGAAATTAATTTAAGGGAAAATGCTGAACTTCCTCAGAATGTAGTTACAGCTTCTACGTACAAATGATTCTATAATAGTGCTAACAGCTGAGCAGTTTTAAGCTTTATGTACACAAATGTTGCTAAAAGCTAATTTGCACTGTAACGTAAGTATGTACGTAGGATCAAAGTAACAGCTACAAGTTCACAGGAAGCGACAGAGAATATGATTCTAGGAATTGAAGATTTTATTAATAATGATTTAATTAAAATTACATATTAATGTACACGATTGTTATGTATCATTTGCAATTAACTTGTTAACATTTGTATTATATCTTCAAATTAATATATATTTATAATATATAATACAGTATTTAGTATAACATAACAAACAAATTGCATATACATAAAATTATATTCATACATTAATAGTTTTGACTTTGTGCAAACCTCGTTGCGAATTAGGGCTTGTAAAAAAGAATACAACAAATTCCTTTGTAAGGATTCTTTGTTTAGTAGCTTGATTAAATTGATTTAAGCAAATATAAACGAATTTTAGGAGAAAAATTCTATGATATTTTTATAAACGTTTATATACGCAAACTTTCATTAATTTCTAAAAATCGTATCATAAATTAGACGCTTTTAAATCGAATTGCTTTTTGTCTAACTTCTTTTATTAATTTACATTCAGTTAAATCGATTACTTTATTAGTAAAGCGATGATACGTTAATTAATTGAATAGAGATTATTCTGAATTTATACGGTAATCGAATGTTGAAAGTGATGAAACGGAACGGAGGTCGACCGATGAAAGGATGTTCACGATCAGAGAAATTAATAACTTTCGAATAAGATGACTTGCCACCTTGTCTCAAGAATATTCGTAAGTTTTTGCATTGCTCAGCATGTGTTGGTAAGTCATTGAAGACATTCTATTAGTTTTTGCTGCAGAAATGAGGACATTCGAAATAACTCTATCTGTACAAGGATATTCTTAAACAATGTATTGTAAAAACGTGTAACTATGGTTCATTTAAACGAACCACATATTCTTATAGTATTTTATGTATAATTATACACCATGAATACGACAATCGTCTTTCGTTTATAAAATAGTGTTTGAATTTTTACATTTCATGCATTCATTTCGACATTACAATCATTTGAAGTCAGGAAGATTCATTTCACCATCGGAATATCGTCAATTTCACGAACATTCTGTATAATTTTGCCACCAAGGTTATTATAAATAATCGTGCAGTTATTCTCTGGTAAAAATTTCGGAAAAGTTTGGTACTTTTTCAACATCCTACTCTTCATTTCGATGTTCTCATCTACCCGAGGTCACGCGAAGAAAGCGAATTTTAACGGAGGTGGTCAACACCGGTGTCCGAGAAAGGAGAGATCGTAAAATTATGTAATAGACGTCGGCAGTGTATGCTGCCGATAGTTAACAAACACAATTGAACCGCTTCTTATCCAGCAGCCAGTGATTTAACAGTCTCTCATCGAGTCGGCGGCAATTGTTTCCACTTTACGTGCGCCATAAACTCGAGTAGTTTCGCATCTAAAGATCATTTCTCAGACAACAGTAAACTTATTGCTTTACTTACCTTATAGTTCCATTGAACGAACTTACCGGTACACAGAAATCAGTTAGACTTAAACCAACACACATAACAATCTCACAACTCTAATTCGGAGGTCAGAATGTTGGGAGTTTCCGTCCCGTGATAAATAATATTGACGTTTCTGCTTGGCATTGAAGTCACCGACAGGAATGTTATTTCGTAACACCGTCCATCCCTGTTTATTGTAACTCTAACGAAACATTTCTCCTTATTTTCTTGGCCCAATATTTGTAGAACAGAATAGGCTAAAAAGTAAGGTTCCATTAGCAATCACTTATTTGATTAAATATAAAATTTATACATGATACTGAATTTCAAGGGTTGTCGAGTAAGAAAGTAAATATTATTCTTCTATAATAAATTAATATACTTAAAAGCAAACAATTTTTCCCTTTTCCAATAAATTATTAATGACAAAATAGGCGTAACGATCACAGTTGAAAGAGAAATCATAAGGCAAGGAGTTAAAGTAATTTTTTGGAAAATTCTAATTATACGAAGTTCGTGTATTTGAAATAACGAAATGAAACTGTTCGGATGAAAGAGTTCCTGAAGACATAGAATAACATATAATTTTCATTATTAATATTTCATATTAATGAAATACCAAAAGTTAGATAATCTAAACAAATTTCTTTCTTATATTGTCTAATTCTTGATATCTCCCAAAAACATATTTTCAATCCTCATTTTTTAAATTCTTTTGGTTCTAACAATATACATGAAAATCAAACAGAATGCACGTTATGTATTTTTCTGTCAACAAATTTTAATCTAAATTTCACCTTCAAATCAGAGTTTAAGTGATCGACATAATAACCTTTCGGTGAGAACATACGTGTACGATAAATATCAAATTACCTTTTTTCGTAAAAATTGTTAATGATAAAATACCTTTTACGAACGCAATGAGCAATACTATGTGCAACGTTCTGCTCGACACTACATACATTTTTCAAACTGGATAGCGTAATTCCCCATACGCTAATGACACAATTAAATTCACATTATACAGGGCGAATCAAATAAAGTGTTACAAGACATTTTCTATGAAACAGCAGTATATATTGTCTTCATTTTTTTTAACACTAAAACTACCGAGCACTTAAACGGTCTTTTTAAAATGTTTGTATAAAAGCTATAAGTATGAATTTATTAAGATTTCAATTGGTTTATATTTCAGTTTAGGTATTACTAAATCATCTTTAACCATTTCTTAAAGAAGTATCTGTACCTTTACATTAATTCTGAAGGAAAAAATTAGGAATCGGTAATTTCGACCCACCTGGTAGTTCTAGTGTTAATTAAAGGACTAAACCAATATTCCTCATTATTTTGATTTTTCGAGTGAATAGCACCTCAAAGTACGATAGTTGTAATGATGACGTGTAGCATAACTACTAAAATACACGTTTAATTTGTAATTAAAACTAAGTTGAGAATATAATGATTAGAATTGAAAATTTCTTTAGAAATATATGTTATAACATCTTTCATTTTACAATCGGATTTACAATCGGATTTTCAATTTACACTACAATTTACACTGCAATTTACATTTCTAGCGGATTCAGTTAGACATTACAAATGTGTACTCAGTTTCAAATAATACGACCTTTGGGAACTGTTAACAGCCTCGTGAATCATCATTCTGTTAAATCTGAATATTTAAACAGCTTGAGATTTTAATAATCTGAGCTGTATGTATCTTCTAGTGGAATATCCTTCTAGCGAGATATCCTTGACACAGTCTATCAACCTGTATCCTAAACTGTCCCGATCAATCCATTTAACGAAATATTACAACATCGAAGGTTACTAGAAACTGTCGTGTTCAAAAGAAAGACAGCTTAGTCAGACAGAAACGCCCGAAAAGTGTATCGAATGACTCTTTATATCTCTCTTCGTAGAATTCTGTTGGTCAACCTTGAAGTGAGAGTGAAACTCTTCGCAGGTATTTTAAAAAGGGAAACGTTCATAACCGGATCTCACGACGTGGGGCAAGGAGCTCGTGAAAAAGTACACCTTACGTGTATGTGAAAAATACATCTACGTATTGTATAATATCGCAAATTGTTGCGTGAAGAAATGGTACCAAGAATACAGCCCTTTTTCATTGAAGTGTCAGTGAGCGTTCGATTTAAATCACTATTGAGTTCCGATTTTCTTACAATAATTAGTCTTCAGACTATAACTGATTTAACTATCATTTTTCTTATTTTCAAGCACTATTATATTTTCAAATTTAAATATTAAAATAATGAGGAATTATTAATTACTTTCTTTCTTAAATGATGTATAGACTTTCATACCGTTTGATACGATTCGTATTATATCAAGTCTCCAGTAGAAGATTACGTTTTTTAATGAACTATAATATCTAGGCAAAAGAATGGTAACGGATGTTTAGTCTCCAACTGTACACGACGTACATTATCGTCCAGTAATTATTAGATAAGTACTTTCTTAATCTAATGAAAACATAAATTGAAGTGTAATCTTTATACAATGTAGTTACTCTAGATATACGCGAAACATTTGTCATTTATTTGAGTAAATTTGAAAATTATTGTACTATGAGTGCAAAATCAATGTAATTTTTTCCATATTATAAATCCATTTAAGTATAAAGAAGATAATTATATAAATTAGTAAATAAATGAAAAACCCATTTTACAAATCGTGATAAAATTTATAGAAATGAATACAACAAAATTGTAGTGGAATTAGTAGAAACATTCAAATAATTCACAAGCAAACTGTTAAAATCCACTTTGAATAGGAAAAGATAATATTTCAGATGTTTTACAAAGCATAATAAGATTTGCATTATTTTTGAAACGTCAAAAACTGATGCTCATTTATAACTATTTAATAGGTTACTTAATAGGTTATTTAACTGTGAATGGTTGTATCTACAATCGACAGCTGCGAATGAATAATTTAATCATTCAAATAATGAGAGATTGATATGTAGTTTCCTTTTTTTCTGATATTTAAGATTTCGACACATAATTCAACTTTTATGAAAAGAGTTTTTGACGGTTTGAAAAATTCTCGTTCGCGAATAAATAATTATTGTAAATCAATTTATGAATTTTGTTACTTGTAGAAATTTTCTAAGAGCTATTCGTTCTTATTGTAGACTCGTTAACGTGAATATTCAACGATCTATGATTAGGTGTGTATGAATATAATGAAACGTACATCGTTTTTATTAATGTATGAAATATAACCTTATGCTTGTATTACTTTCTGTATTCACATTCTTTGTAACTATTCTGTGTCCTATTTACTACTTTAAATTTGAAATGGGCACACAAGGTCAACGTAATTGCATCGATGAAATCTCATTGCATACTTTCCTCGTATCATCCTACTTTCTTTGCATGGAACATCAATTTTAAATTAACTCCTTCAGGAGCACTCTATCATTCTCAATGCATACTAGTGTCAGGCAACTAATACATGCTTTAATTTGATTTTAATTGTGCTTTGTCTTCCCTGATACTAATGATTACAATATCCAACACATATTTTTCTGATGTTCATATAATTATAGTATTAGATATTACAACTAGTATTTGTTATAGATTCTTATGCACTGAGTAGAAATTTTTAATTTGCTCCTAGTAACTTCAGTTTTTAAGATATTTAATTTTAAATTTTAATAAAGTACAAACAAAGCAAACGAAACTAAACAATTTTTAAATTATATGTATCCTCGTTATAAACTTTTCTTGCAGAAATAATCTTTAAAGCAAGTGAGACGTTCTAATTTTTTCGGATTCTCAATTTATGTTAAAAACTGGTATCAAATTTTATCAGTATTATTCAAAATGATTATTCGAAAATTGAACTTAATATTTATAAATTAAATAATAATATTTCTAATGATGATGCCATTTTAAATAATTAACTAATGAAAATGTATATACAGTGGTTTTAAACATTCTACACACAAATTATCAATAAACAGATATCACTGTTATTATACAGTTGAAGGTAGACCTAAATATGTTATTTTCAATTTCAGTAGACATGCTTTAAAAGATTTTTATCTTATAATGTGCACGTGAATAAAATGTTAATTTTTGTCATAAGAATATTTTTATATTGATTTCACTGTTCAGTAAAATATTTACACTACATTTAAACTTTTTCTCTTTTGCAGGTAGACTTTCGGCTATACTTATAGGTATTCTCACTCTTGTGATCGGCATTATCTTAAGTAGTATACCTTGGGTGGATTATATTATTTTGAAGGTAAGTAAAATACTGTTTCCAATTGCGTTACTTAATAGGTTACAGTAGTTATCATCATTAAAGATTGTATTTATAAGTGAAAATATGTAGACTATTGACGAGGGTTTCAGAAGAACACTTTACAGTTTATATAAATGTTTTAAATCTTTTTAGTATTATTTTTGTTATTATATATATAATTATATGTATATAATATATTGTGTAAACACTTATACTAAACTTTTTACCATTTATCTGTCCTAAAATATTCGTGATTTACAAAGATGAACACTTAATAGCCACTTTCAAGCATCTCACTTGCGCTGCAGTGAAAATGGATACAGTATTGAGAATTACTAGTATCAACAAAAAGCGGAACTTATTTCCGCTGTCGGCCTTGCACTTTCTCAGAGAACAAGTTACATACGTAACTCACACGTTTCACTCACAGTATAAACTAGTGGTTATAGTTATTAAAGTAGTCATCTATTTTTGAAAATCAGGTTTCATATTTGTTGTTTCAAGGAACATCGAATCTAAACGCTAATTGATATTTTAAGTAACATCGGCTAATATAACGTTCTTTGAAACACTTTATTTATTTATTACTAGTACTATAGCTGTAATTGTTAGGATCCAAAAAGGCTGAACACGAAATATATTTGTTGGTTTGTTGGTGTAAATTATTTCTGTGTCTAATCTACTTTAACTAAAGTAGGTTTTTAATCGATTGCATAGAACGATGCATATATCGGATTTACCATCGCGAGCAAGCGTGACAGGGTTAACGACACCATAATATTTAAATTATGATAGATTACTATCTATTTGATTACTTACGGTTATGAATTCTATCTTACATAAAATAGCAGGGAAGTTCAAGTATAAGAAACAAACTAAACATACATTTTTTTTATATAAAAATAAACATTTTGGTGTGTCCGGATTTTGTAATTAGGCGTACACTTTTTACACTAAAATCTACGTGAAAGTGGATCAGAATGTTATTGCATAAATATTCAAAACTTTATTGCTTTTTACTTATCACTTAAACAAATGAATTTTTCTAAAATCTAATTAGAAAAGTAAACTTTTATTAAAAAATATATAATTTTGCTAAATTAAAGTAGTTTTAACAGTTTTCGAGATATTCGATTAAATATATTTCTTACTTCCAATTTTGAGAGCTCTCTCTCTACATATTCGATTTGAATAATTAAAATGATGACAATACTGCATGTAAAGGATTTTTGACAAATCTACTTTGTACCAAAGATTCATAAAAGTTGGTGGATGTTACTTCGGTATATTTAATTTCCTAAAAGGAAAACGTTCAGATTACTGTGTAGTACCCTTTAAATTTTCCTTCAAATATGAAGTAATTTATTGAAATACATTTTTAACTAAATATGGAGCCATAATATTGAATTATGAACGATCATTTTCTGTCCTGAATATTCAAATATACAGAAAATAACTGCATATACCATTAATATTAGAGGACATAATAAATTATACAGCCAAACATGAATAGATTTATTGATTTCGAATATCTTATTTAACGTTATAACTATTAAGTGTTTAATATAATTAATACCTAATCCTTATAAAAATTGTAACAATAATCTTCTTACAGTTACTTCATATATTTATTATAGTATATAGCATATAATGGAACTATTTATTTTATAAATTATCTTGGATATCATTACTTTTGAAGTATCAATAATTGCGAAATAAAAAAATTGAAACCTGTCATTGTAACGGGTGCGATAGTTCTAGTGTTAAGGTATAATAATAAGCTCAAACGTCATTAACAAAAGTTACAGAACTGAAAGCTATTTAGATTGTAACATGCATAAATATATTCTACAATTATTTACATATTTATTAATCTATTTAGCTATGACAAGTAGTCATGATTGAATTTTTCTTCTTTTTTCAGCAACTACGGCTATGGAATGGTTCCATTTCGTTTCAGTACTGGCAAAAACCCGGTGTAGTTCGATTAACGAAAGTGTATATATTCAATGTAACAAATGCGGAGAATTTCTTGCAATTCAACGAGAAGCCGAAGCTGCAGGAAGTTGGGCCGTTTGTTTATAAGTATGTCTTGTATAAAATAATAAAATGCGTTTTAAGTATACTGAAATATTCAGTGCAAAATTTGAAAACAGAGAGGTAGTACCTATTAACTAATCTTGATAATGTGAACTGTGAATTAAATGTTTCTATATTCTTGTATATTGGTTTTATTCGTAAAGTATCTGCTGGTTATTTATTATTTCACCAGTAACAAACGCGTGGTATTGAATCTCCAATGTAAGATGTTATTATTTCCTGTTTGTGACACAGCTTGCCTTTGTGACATTTTCATTTCGAAATCGTTTGAGAACTTAAAATACACAGTATCGACTGCGTCGCATATCGATATTTTCATACAGAATCGCATTTCCGGCAATTTTATGGTTCCAGAATTTATAGTCGTAATACATGTTGTAAATACGTAATTCAAGCACATCTTTGTAATAATTCTTATAAACGTAGATGAAAATACATTTACATAACTAATTCAAACTAACTAAATGACACAATTACGTTATGTTACAATATTATACAGATAATATTAATGTAACAGCAAAAAGAAATTATGGAACACTTTGTAACATTTCAATAGATCTTTTGTATATTAAAAATATTCATAATAATTATTTTACTTATTTTACAGGGAAGACATGGAAAAAGTGAATATTGTCTTTCACAACAATGGTACTGTGAGTTATCAACACAAGAAGATATTAAACTTCGTACCAGAATTGTCGCAGGACAAAAACATGAGATTAATGGTACCAAACATTCCATTATTGGTGAGTAAACATTTATTAACCTGTTTAACCCTTTGCACTCGGTTTATTTTCAATATTGTTGGATGTAAACTTGTATTTATTTTTAGGGGAATGAATTAAAGTAATTCATATTTATATTTATTTTATTTATTAATATTATAATAACGTTTAATTTTGATGTTCTTTTAAAGTGTGATACTTTGTAAAACAATTTCCAACGTTCTATAACAAATTTGTATAGTCATCTTCATACACGACATACGAGTGCAAAGGGTAAAATTACTATTCTCTTTATTGTGACTGTATATGCTTGAAGAAAGAATTTAATTGGAATATATTCATTATTTTATATTTCATATTTCAGACTGTATCAACGCAGAGTAAGAGTCTGCCTCGATTCATTACTTTAGGATTATCCATGTTTCTAAGCGGAATGCACATGAGTCCGTTTGTTCCTGTAACTGCTCAACAGCTTGTTTTTGGATACGATGATCCATTAGTTAGCATTGCGCATCAGTTTTTCCCAAAAACAAGACGCCCGATGAGTCAAATGGGACTTCTACTTGGAGTAAGTTATAAATTGTATATTCTATTTGTTAATATTACATTCACGTGTAAACACAATTAAAAGAAGGAGCATTGCTTAAGAAGATAGGGAACTCTATAACAAGAATTTAAATATTTCATTAATCGACTGTGGAACTTTATGCATTTGTAGTACCTATACCAAAGTTTAAACAAATTAACAGAACAAACAGTCATATAACTTAATATCGCTTCAGTGTGATTTTAATTTATCTAAACTATCCATGAAAACAATGAAATTTTACTTAATAGAATTTTTTTAAATATCTCTATAAATTTTTACACACACTTCCGCAATCTGTTGATTAAATTAATGTTAAAAGGTTTTAAAACTTCACTGCATGAAATAAAACATGTTTGTATTATTCAAATTTAATAATTATTGTTAAATTAATAAAAATGATTGAAATTTATAATATTATTAAAACTAACACTTTTAAATTATAGAGGAATGGTACTATAAACGAGGTATCTACCATTTTCACGGGCCATACCGATATGAAGGAATTTGGATTAATAAACCGACTAAACGGATTAGATCGTTTACCGTATTGGCCAAATGCTCCTTGTAACTCTATTCGAGCTTCAGAAGGTAAGTACCATCAGCTTTTGTAAGATTACATAACAATATATTATATTGTACGTATTCACGTACATAGAAATCTGTGAATAAGTCGACACATCATGTATGTAACGCTCGAACAAATTGATTTCAAAAAAGGAACGCACACAAATAAATTTCAGAGTTAAATTTTTGAAAATAAATTACTTCCGAATGATCTATTTGCCAAATACTCGATCGTTTCGAATTAATATAATATTGAATAACATATAGCAATTTGTTCTGTGTAAAATACAAAACGAATAAATGAATAAGAATGAGTAAATATAATTTATTCAAACGTAAGAAGTATGTGATTACAGAATTGAAGTTTCATACGTTGTACATAAAAGAAAAACATCGTTTTTCCCTGGTGAAATCAAATAATAAATCGCTGCTAATCGACACACGTATGAATTATGTATGCTCCTTAATCCTGCCTGCACTTCATTCATTTTTATAGACGTAATTAAAAACCAGTAACAAGAATTAAGATGCCGTTAACGTATCACTAACAATAAAATATTTTATTGTAGGATCCTTCTTTCCTCCTCGTGAACTAACCGGCGACGATATCGTCCATCTCTGGGATAAAGATATTTGCCGGACTTTGCCTTTGCAATATCGCGGCCCTACAGAGAAGTCAGGAATTAAAGGAGATTACTACACTCCTTCTGACGTTGTTTTCGGACGACCAAACGATAAAGCTCCGGAAAACGAGTGTTTTTGTTCCAGTGACATGTCGACTTGTCCTATGGATGGTCTGCAAAATATTAGTCCTTGCCAGTATAGTAAGTATAACATCCATCAACTCCACGTAGGACATATAATCGCATAGTTTTAATTATCGAAATTAATTTTTTAAATAGAAATGAAAGTGAACTTATGCCTTTACTTGCGAGAGTAATTGCCCTCTTTTACTTGCCAACAATAATAATGTATATTTTATGTTAAACAATGTGCACTGAATTGATTATGATGATTATCAGTTTTTAAATGAATTAGAAGAACCATGGGTTCGTCCTACTTTCGACTGAATTGATTTCATTAAATTTTTTCTTTAGAAGAAAATGTCCAACAGGTAATGTACAAATGGTAGTAAGCAACCGGAAAATTATGTGCCATGATGGTGTGCTGATTAATGATACACTATTAATTTTCAGTTCTTAATAGTCTCGTTTTTTGCTTTACAGTGATTTAAAATAGAAACTGAATTATTTTCTTCTGACAAGTCACACTGCGCGCAGTATTTTCGCACACCTGGATTTTTTGAGCTGACAGAAGGGAAAAGAGAGATTGATAATTGAGACCTTTTAACTTTCTAATATTCTACCACATACAAAGAAATAATCATAGATAGTCAAATCAGGTGAATGTCTCGAGTAATTAAGTGGCACAACAAGTTTTGAGATTAAAAAGTGTCTGTGGACGGATAACTTGCCGAGCAAAAAACATCGCGTGTTTCATGTTTCGTTATTTAAAAGTAGTAAAGAAGTAGCCATTTTTAGATTTTTTGTAATCGTTGTTAAGACATACATATCCTGCAGGAAGCAAACTGGAAAAAATTACTGACTTCATTTCCATTTAACGATTTTTTTCTAATAAATCACGTATCAGGATTAACATGTTAATATTTTAAAGACTTTCACTATATTGACTTCAAACGTTCGCATTTAGAATTGAAAGTTGCGAACAAATGCTTTAAAAAAGAACCAAATTTTCGACGTTTAAAATTATTTCTGTTCTTACTATAAACACTTTATAATTGTCTTTTGTAGAAAACATATTAAAATAATTTTAAGCTTTAAGTTAAATGTGAACTTTGAAACAGTGAGCCACTCATGCACCGATCTTTCTTATGTTTCTGAATTTACATTGAAAACTAAGAATCTAAGATTCTTAAAAACAATACCTTTTCATACGAAAACCATCGGAGGAAGTTGCAACATTTCGTTTTTTATTGAAAATAAAATATTTCTGTCAAACAAAACATATCTTCAATAACTCTCAATGCTAACTGTGGTTTAACTTCCTTCATTGTTGTTGAATATTGAAACATATGAAAAAAGTATAAAAGTATGTGAAACAATATTGTATGGAGAACCTTTGTTCTATATTATTGACTTATCTGAATATGCAAAATAGTATAGTGCCCGTACTGGAACGCCCAGTATATTCATACCGTAATTCTCTCTTTTCGAACCACATACCGTGTAGTTTTCACTATTGAGGCTTTCGAATGCAAGTCACTTTCTTGTGATTCGTTAGAATTTCATCCCATATTTCTAATAAAGGCATAAATTATATTCTAGATTTACTACATTTCTTATTAAACGTTTACTTTTATTTAGAAGATGTCAATCAGTTCTGACATTCAATATTGTAAGCATTTATTTGCTCTGCAATCATCTATGGATTGGATACTGTTCTTAATCTAATATACTTGTGTAGTATACATGGTTAAATATGTCGATGATCGATTTACACGTACAGAACCTTTTCCTTTCCATAGTTGACTAAATTTTTATAAACTTGCTCATTCTTTAATTTCAATATCGTATAGCCTGAATAAAATTAAAAAATAATAATTAATTATTAGGTATGATGTCAACAATTTTAAAATAAAGACATTAATTCTAATAGAAAACCTCAAGTTTTATATAATTCTATATTCATGTGCTTTATTAAAATACAAATCGAAATATAAAATAGACATAAATACAATTGTTAATAATATTCTCTTTTACTCCTCAGCTGCGCCAGTTTATCTCTCCTTTCCACATTTTTATAAGGCGGATCCTAAACTGTTGGATGCGGTCGAAGGTTTGGAGCCAAATCAAGACCGGCATGAAACCTACTTTAAGATTCAACCGGTAAGCATTATTAAACATAGCTCTCACTGCAAAAATTTTTGTAAAGGAAAGATCTTGATGAATCCGTTAATGTTAATGAAAAAAAGTCTTATCCAGAGCAATCACTTTCTCTTAAATATGAAATATAGATGTATAATGTAAACTGAGTTTCATTTCAATTTGACTGTCCATGAATTTACTATTCCCATAAAGTTTATTCTATTACTACGCAAATATTCTTTTCGTAAGCTTTTTGTAAGCTTCTCAAATAAAACGGGAAAATTACTTTTTATATTTTAGTCAGATTTGTTTTCATATACGTGTGTATAGATTACAAAATATACAGGGTGACAAGGTATAATGTAATGTTCTACTTCAATATTTTTCAATTCTATGAAATCCGTCTGATTAAATAAATAATTAGTATGCTATTCCATTTAAAAATAACGGAAACAGCACTCTTTTGTTTTCTTGGTAACTGCTCCAGAAAAATTGATTACACACCAAATGATCAGATGATCGCTGTTCTTCTTAATTAATACTAGGTTTACGAATTCCATTAATTTGATACATACTGGATTTTATAAACATTATTTGTTATTCTAGCAATTCGATTTGGTCGGGGGTCACCGGTGACCCCCATGCCATTCAACGTGCTAAAAGTCTGATAATTCTAAATTGCATATATTTCAATAGAATATTATTATATTGATTGTATTCAACGATTAATTACATCTATCATTTGTTCTCCTTTATTCTTCAGAAACTTGGTGTGCCGCTAGAAGGAAAAGTTCGTTTGCAGTTGAACTTAAAAGTTGAACACCAGCCGAACATCGCTGTCGTGTCGGATTTTCCCGATATCGTATTTCCAATCATGTGGGTGGAAGAGGGTGTCGAGGAACTGACGCCCTCTATCCGCAGGTGGATCTACTTAGCAACGACGTTCTGCGACATCGCTGTGCCCTGTACCTCGTACGGATTAATTCTAGTCGGTTTAATAATCATAATCACTGTTTCCGCGAAAGTTTACAACAACGTTGTATTTACACACGAAGCGATAGAATTAGGGAAACGAACGATCAGAAGAGGTTCGATGTTACTGGTGAACGGACAACACAGACTGCTAGTGACGCGAGATTCGTACGTTCTGCTTAACGACAGTAGAAACGAGAAGGCGGAAAGGATAAGTGTCTAGCCTTCATAGTAATAATTTTGTATCTACGATTAATAAAATAAGATACATTTAAGTATATATCCCGCGTTGCTGGGGAGTTGGTACTTGGGCGGAATGCGGGTCTAATTGGTTGCACTGGAAAGAGGCACGCTTTTCTTCGTACCCAATTTAGACAGTAATGTGTGATACCATTCATTGATACAATCGCACGGTATTTGATTAACCCTCTTGCTACAATGGACAAGATATCTCGATTCCACGGTGTCGAATAAACGATGCTATGAACGAGATATCTCATCACTATGATGTCGTCGTTCAGTCCTATGGAAGATATACCTTGTGTACCTTTATTATTGATATGAAGTGTTTTATTTGAAAATTTGACAGAGGTAATCGATTTTTACGATATGCCATCATTGGTAGAGGATGCTTAAAAATGATAAATATAAAGTACTTCATATTTTACAAGATGAGAGTCTGGTGGATGACAAGAACTGTAAACACTATAGGAGAATCGCAGAATATTTCCACTGCTGCAAATAGCACGGCTATCGACATTACTTCTATATTAGAGCACCAATATCATTCGGGTATTACAAGAGATAACACTGTACGGGGACATCGTGGTGACAAGATATCTCGTGCACAGCATCGTTTCTTCAACATCCTGAAACCGAGATATCTCGTTCATTGTAGCGAAAGGGTTAATGCTAAAAACAAAACACACAGCGAAAGACCCCCTTGCCCTTTTGCTGCCCCTAGTAAGTACCAACTGTCCAGCAACAGAAAGTACTTATATACACTGCGTTACGCGACGTTGAATCGTCTCGCGATAGTTTTTACTCGTTTTTAATACTGTACACCAAAGTTTTCCTTCCAATTACCTGAAGAGGGACGATGATGCGTAACAGTTATAATAATCATGTGTCTGACGAAATTCCGATTATCTCTGCACGAACCATGTTCGATTTTGCTGAATTTCTTTTCCTATCTGTGATTTCATTTCTTTACTTATGTCGTCAATGTGCCGTAGCGCGAAACCTAGATCGTGCTTCGACGAACAGAAACGGGTACTGACTGATTAAAGAAAAAACGAAACGCAATTTCAGCAAAATTCATTATCTCGAATGATATGATATGAACCGTACAAGAACATTGCTACTCAACGTGGGCACTTCATGCATGATCGAGATCTAGTGCAATATTAGTACTATGTAATAGGTATTAATACGAATAATTTCCAGGCAAAACGATAGCTTGATGATGGTTACAGTTTACGTCTAAACATCACATTTGGAATTTAAAAAATAATCGAACTAAACGAAAGCGATCGAAAATGCATGTTCAAACATGTTTTATATCATACGTAATATTTCGAGGTTGCTAACCAGTAAACCTTACTCAGGACACTTAATATTAAATAGAAAAAGAGTCAATTGATTTATTTTCCTATGAAGTTTATACTCATCTAAACGATAATATTCATAAAATATCTTATTAATTGGGAATTTTTAGAATAATAATACGAATATACCATGTAATGTTACTATGTATGAAGTTTGTAATAAAAACGATTTGTTTAAAAATATTTTTGAAAGGATTTTTATATATTAATGAGAACAATGAATTGAGTGGAGTGTGAGTTTTAGTAGGTCATATGTGCTCAGTTTGTGCTTCTATAGATTTTAATGTTCATTGTAATATAAAGAAATAATTATGAACGATAATGAAATTTTGTAATAAAACTATAAATATTTTATAGGAACAAGTATGTAGTTTAATTTAGGTCGGCTCCCAGTTGATCTTAAATCACAATTAATTGATGCTAACGAACCACAATTTTTTATCCAAAAATACACGATAATGTAGTCTAGGAGAGATTTTAATTTCAGTAACATTCCTCAATATTGTAGTTTATTGGTTGTTGTATACACACAATGCTCAATAGTTAGGTTTTGTGTTAAAATATCTTCTAAGTTATACATTTAATATACAAAATAAAAAAAAATCAGAAATAAATAAGAACTGGAGGAAACACCATAAAATGAAGTTGGGAAAAATATGATGGTGAACTACTATCTGATACTGCTTACATTAGAATGGTAGGTGATTTTACCATTTTTAGTTACAATGGAAAGGGGAAAGTTTGGAGAAAACCAAATGCAGAGATAGATCCTAAACATCTGTACCCGACGTTTAAAATTTATTGGCGATATAATAGATCAAGCGATATAATGGATAAAATTAAACTTAGGGAGATCGTTCATTTTTCAACAAGATAATGACCTTAAGCATACAGCGAGAAAAGTAAAGGAATGGCTGTTATGTAATCTGCTGAAACAGTTTCTACACCACCTCAATCGCCTGACGTCAATCCTATTGACCATTTATGGAATGTAATAAAAAGAATATTGAAAGGACACGATATTAGAAACAACGAAAATTTAAAATCTCAAATTATACTCGAGTGGAAGAATATTCAGCCTAAATTTACTAAAAAACATTAGTATGTTCCATGTAAAGAAAGGGTGCGAGAAATTGTTAGAAATTACAGTTAGTAAATTTCTGAATACGGAAACTTTTTTGATCACGTTTTTGTTATGTTTGTCTTTTTGGTTTATTTTATTTATTGATGAATGTGTATGTTTCTTTTTATCGCCAATAATAAATGTTATGCTTTTCTGTATGAATGTGTAAAAATGACTTATTTCTTCTTTAAAGTATATGTAACATTTAATACATTTTTATGGGGTGTTTGGAGACTTTTTTGACTGAGTATAGTTCAGCAGTTAACCGTTCGATTTAAGTAGAGGCAGTTAATGCATATTTTTGAGGATGTCGGTATTTCAGACTATTGACAGAAAAATACAGTATATGCACAGTTTGTACGTATTTTAAATGTGTTCAATATTTTTAATTTTAATTCCCATCACTTATAGCGCTGCCATGCAAAACCAACCTTAGTCGATATGACAGGGCGTGACATGAAAATGGTAAGGGGTACTAGTACCCCTGAGACCGTGTGTCTAAATTTTACATTGCATGTATGTCTATTCCATACCTTGTCTGTGGTCTCGGACAGCTCCTTGAGTAAAGATGGTGGGGAGAACGTTAATCGAAAGTCACTAGCTGTTGGTGTAAATACTTCAAGACATCTAGGGACGCTAGTTTTTATAATGTTATTCGCTGTAAAAATATAGTGTAATAGGTAAAATATTCAAATAATTTTGAATCTAAATATTCTTAATGTTTAAATGACGAATGGTAATTTTATCCTACAATAAAATGTTCATTTGACGCTTGTTTCAAAAAGAAATTCTATATTAAATTATATGTATATTGTAAACTTCATAAACTACAATTATCTATACATACAACATTTGTATTTACATATTTTAAAACTATTGCAATCATGATTTAATCTTATCTTATCTGTAATCTTATCAGTTTCTGTTTGAAAATCCAAAAATGAAAATAACAATTGATATAGTAACAAAGTAAAATCACCGACAAATATTTCATCTGTACTTAACCATTATTTAATAAATATGGCTGTATTAAAACTGTACAACCTTTAAATAACTATACGAATATTATTTATTAAATACTAATAGATTATTCCATTCTTGTTAATTAATTATTATTAAGTTTATACTCTATAGAAACTACTTCATTAATAAATATGTGGACTTAAACTTAATCAATTATAAAACCACATATATACAAAAAATAAGCATTATAAATACCATTTTTTATCTCCTTAAATATCTAAAGGCCTATGTACATATGTACATTAGATCACCAATAATGCGTTAGAATGAATGCATAGTACTGTAACTAGTATATTTAACTAGTTAAAAGTGAACTTCCTGAGAATTTCCAGGTGGTTTCCTTGTAACAGTGCTTCTATGATATTTTAATTTTGGTTGATGATAGTACTTATTGTTGAGGAGTCAAATTTATTGTTTTCTCAATAGGATTTTAGTACTTTTATATTAATATCTTTATATCTTTATAAGATATATAATTCGAAGATGGTGTATATATATAATATTAAACTGTTAAAAAGAATCATAGGTCTTTTTTAGTTTATATCATATAAAATAATATTTTATACATCTTTATCTGATTATGGGTGTAAATCAATTAATAATATTTACTGTGTGGCAAATAAAAGTAAATATCTACCGCAATTAAAAGTACTTTTTTCATTCGTTGTCGTATCCATCTGTCCATAAATACAAGACAACAGCAGTTAGCAGCTGGCAACCGCAATAATGTCTGTTGTGGACAAAATTAAGCATTATCAGCGAAGTATTGAAAAATGCGATGATAATGGAGATAGAGTATGTATTATGGCATTAGTTTTCATGAATTGTAAATTTCGAGCAATGTATATAATAATGTAGTTGTTTTTGTTGTTTGAAGATAACCTCACAATGCTTAAATGCAATCCCAATGGTATCTAAACCAGATACAGTATTGTCAAATATGTAATGCGCACATTCCAAAATATTAAAATATATGTCTTTTTACGAACATAAATAAATGTTTTGAAATTAATATTAATTCATTTTTATTTTATTTTATTATATATATGTTAAAGTAAGTTCGAGAAAAATACTCGTTACTTCTTTGTTTAACTTAAAGTTTGTAAGCCTTATTGTTTATGTATTTGTATTGAAATACTTTTTTCATAAAAATACAGTGATTAGCATTTCTTATTTTTTATGTTACATTTTTATTTTAATGTTTGATGTTTATGTGTACTGTATATATATGTATGTGTTGAACAAACATATTGATGTGAATATGTTGCAGATGTTACATTGTATTTCAAAATTATCCAATTTGCCTGTGACGGTACAACATCTTCAGGAAACTGGCGTTGGACGAACAGTAAATGCTTTGAGAAAATATGAAAATGGTGTAGGAGATGCTGCTAAAGCATTAGTTGCAAAATGGAAAGCAATGGTTGCTAGTGAAGAAACTAGCGAAGGTGAAGATGAGGATGAAGCATGTGTCCCTGATGCACCTGAAAGTTACAGTGACGGTCATGAATCTCCTCAGTCTGAAGAAAATTTTGAAAGGTATGAAAGAATTATTTTTTTATTATATTTATTACTTTTAAGATATTTAGAGAAGCAAAACATATATTTATAATATTATTTATTTTTGTTCACATTATAAGTAACTTCTTTTTCAAAATACTTATTAAATATGTCTATACTAAACAAAAAATATAAAAATCATAATTAAATATAATTATTTTCTTCAAAAATTATAACTGTGCTTCTGGAATAAAAAAAATTCCATACATTTAATTATTTTTCAGACATAAAACCAAGGAAAGTGAAAAACATTTACACAGGCATAAAGTGGAAAAAGTTGAAGCTTTAAATACATCACATAATAAACATGCTTCTAAACAAGAATCTAAACAAAGATCTGACAAAACTCAAGTAAAACGTAACAGTGATGCAGTTAAAAGTTCTAGCAGTGAATCAGAAAAGCAAAAGAAGTATGATAAAGATAAACATAGTCATAAACATCAGTCACGAAATGAAAAAGATTCTTTAAAAGATAATAAAAGTGCCTCCAAGAAAGATGAAATCCATGGGTCTAAACATCACAGTCAAGCTAAGCCTGAAAACTCAGAAAAATGCTCTAACAAATCTACTGATAACAACAGTTTACATAAAAGTAATGAAGAAAATTATAAGAAACGGAAAAGTGAAAATTCCAGTAGTATAAGAAAGGAAAATAAACGAAGAAAAAATTCAGAGAGTGAAAATGATGAAGTTAAAATTCAAACACCTACTACTTCTGAGAAGCATAACAGTCATAGTGCATCTAGTACAATTAAAATAAAAGAAGAGCCCAAAAATAAAGAAGGTACAAATAAGAATGAGACTAAGCACGAGAAAAAAGATTCCCAAGAAAAATTAAAAGCAAGCTCTAGTAAACAGAAAAGTGAATCAACAAGTAGCAAGTTGAAAGATAATGGAGAGAAAAATAAATATAAAAATGATAATCAAACAAGTCATAATAAAGATGAGTCCAAAAAAATTGATAGTCATCATTCCAATAAAGATTCTTCAGAGTCAAAGCATCGTAATAGTTCCTCTAGTGATAAGCATTGTGATAAAAGTAAAGATAAAAGTAAAAAGAAAGATCATAAAGAAGAAAAAAGTAACAGCAAAAGTAGTAAAGATTTAAAGCATGTCAAGGTTGGGTCAAAGGAATCAAAAGAATTAGTTAAAATTAAGCAAGAAATTAATGGAGGCGAAGGAATAGATTGCAATTCTGGTTAGTTTATGAATATGTGTTATTTTAATGATGCGAAAAAAATATGTAATTGTATATTTTTTCTGTTTAAAAAGTGTTAAATAAATTCGACTCATTGTATTATTATGTGCTGACAATAACTTTTTCAAATAAAATGATAGTTTACTTTCGTACAAAGATTGTGCATTGAAAAAGTAATCCCTTGTTTGAAACTATTTTGACAAAGATAGGAAATTCATTTATTGCAGTTACATATTTTTATATCACAAATTTTGACATAATCAATACATTTTATTTCTATATATAGGTGCTAGTTTTGCTGAGGCACTTGGTATGTGTACAATAGCTCAGCCATCTAGGAAGCGTATTAACAATTCTGCAAGCACAAGTTCCACAAAAACGGTTAAAGTAGATCCACCAACTACACCTACTAAAAAGCCAGTAGTGAAAACTGAACCAATAAATACTGACCCTTTACAAGTAATTTATATAACATAATTTATATCAATTTAAGACAACTCAGGACTATTTAATCATGTCATGGAAAAATTGTGAACAATTAATGTTCTCTATTACAGCCACCTCCTCTTTTATCATCAAATGTGAAACTGGAACCATTAAGTGTAGATTTGGCATCTACACTACCCGAAATTAGTCCAAATTATAAACCACTGCCGTATGTTAATCCTGTTCTTCGTAAAGAGGAAGATAAATTACTTACAGACGTAATATGTGTTAAAAATCAAAGGTAATGTTTTAATAATGAAAATTGTAATGGATATAAAACATAATATATTGATTTCTAATTGTAGGACGAAAGTATATTCAGGAAATAAATCCGGCTATTTAACTGTACCATCTCTATTTGAAATGTGTATACAAGTACTAATAGAAAATATTGATGGTAAGTGACACATGAATGTAAAGATAGGAAAATAATTCTAAAGTTTATCCTTAATAAGATATTTTCATTTGGAACAGCAGTTTTTAGGCTTATTTTAGAAATTTTTTTTAAAATCTGGACAC